CAGGGTCTGCCTCTGGGGACACCCGAAGTAATATACAGGCTCTGCTACTGGGGCTTCCCACACTAAGATATCAAGTAGATCCGATCGCAGTCTTGCCTTAAATCTCCTCAAAAGAACAGGGTGGAACATGCTGTTCTTCAATGAAGCAGCTCTCTTGTAATAATCCCATTTGGAGCCGCAGCAGATGAGTCCTCTTCACTGGGTGGGGGAACCTCATCTTCCCCATGCCATTAAGCCTCATACCCCGCCCTTTGGTACATAATCGCCCCCTGTGTTCCACATGAACTCCTTTGTTGTATTTCACAGTTACTGAAACACAATGGACCCTCTGTTCATAGCTTTGGAAACGTCCCTTGGGTCTCCAGCTGGGGGCGTCTCTCGCTATTTGTTTATTTACTTTCTGGGGAGCATCACACGTGTTCGAATGTTGGCAGGAGAGTTAGTCTGGCTCAATACTTACATTTGCCAAAAAAGAAATTTTGCAGAGCGGCTGATGGGAAATCCCATAGCAACTCCCCCTCCTCCCCCCAAGACTTCATGTTATGCTCTAATTTTTCTTTCTTCTTTTCCTGGTGAGTAATGAAGGATGTTTGCTCATCTGGGGCCCTCCTGCATCTATTGCATTCAGTCTCTTCTGTGCCAAGCACCCTGCATTCCCCATTGTGCAACCACACTTTCACAAGTTCTCTGTCCAGCAGGTTCCAGTGACACCCCAACCCAAAGAGCATGTGACTTAGCATCAGCCAATCAGCAGCTGAAGCACAGTGGCTGCAGTGACTGGTTTGGCGATGGGCATGGCGTACTTCGGTCCAATTGGAATTTACCTCAGAATTTGTTTGGTAGCTACTAGAACCCCTCTCTCTTGTGCCCCTTGCGAACCTGGAGTGGTTGGGACACCGATAAGTGAGCCTGCCTTACTGAACATCTCAGTTCTAGGAGAGCTTTAGATGTTATTTTTTTCACTACACATTGCTCCCCACTGTATTATGTTTAATCTCCCTGGAGAGCAGGTTCTTGAATAGTATTTTTGAGCAGAGTCTATAACTTTCCAGTCACTTTTGCTTGTTTTAAAAAGCTCAGCCCAAAATAGTTCCAAAATCTGAGCAAATACCTGATTCAAACCTTGTGCTGGTTAGGATATCAATTCAGTTGTAATAAAACCCGAAATAACTGGCCTGAACAAAATAAAAGTTTAATTCTCTCTCCTGGAACAGCCCAAAGGTTAGTAGTGTCTGTGGTGGTTTGTGGGCCCAGAGATTCAGACTCTTGCTATCTTTTTGTTCATCAACCTCAACACATAGCTTCTACTTTGTGGTCTAAAGGGGCTGCTTTAGCTCCTGCCATTATGTCCATATTCCTTTCTGCAAATCGGAAGAGTAAAAGGAGAGAGAGAGGGCACTTCTCATTTTTCCAATAGCACAACCCAGAAGCTCACAGTTGGGGGTGGGATCAGGGACAAAAGCCCTGGCCACCAGTCTCCTCCTCCAGCCTATTCCACCCTGCTCTATGACCTATGTGGACAGAATAAAAGAACTCTCTTGCCTTCTGGCACCTGAGTGGGTTTGATCAATGCGATACACTGATAGAAGTTGGGAAGACGGGAGCAGAGTAGGTCTGGGTATTGATTACCCTAGCTCTCCTGTTGGGTAACCATGGGCTACTGTGTCCCTTGACTGAAGGTCACAGCTCCTTCAGGCAACCTCTCCATAGTGCTCTTCTCTCCAGATCTGACAACCACTTCCTTCTTTGCCCCTTCAGTCTTAGGGTGATAACACCTCCACTGTTACTATCTGGGGGTTGGAATACCCCTGTTACATCCTTAGTGGTAATAGCTCCCCTTCTGTTTCTAGCCTCAGGGTGCTACATATGCCCATACCTTTATAAACCCTGCCCTCACCTTTATAAAAACAGTCCATTCAGAAGACTCTATTCCTGCTGGGGCCCTGACTGATGTCAATCCTCCTAACAGTCCTAAGTAATAGAAGTCTTTACCATTATACCTATCTATCAGATGAAAAACTGGGGGACAGGTTAAGTGAGCTGCCTAAAGTCACTTAGGTAGCAAATGGTGGCACCTGTGTTTGAACCAAGGTAGTCTGGCTCCAGAAACCATAGTCTTCACCATTGCATGGGCCTTAGTTTTTCAGAAATGTGAGGAGGGAGAAGGACCAGGTTGTGGGTTAGCCCCAGGTCATCATTAATCTGCCGAGGGCCTCAGTTCCTCATATTTTTGGTGAAGGGGTTGGACCAATCCAGTTACAATCCCAGAAGCCTGCGGGGGCCAAAAAGTAACATAAACAAGGGAAGTGGGATTGGTCATTGCCACAAAGCAATATTTTTTCCTTTTTTATTTCAAACATTTGGCCCTCTTCTCTATCTTTCCATCCCCCACTAGGATAGAGAATCAGGCATCATTTAGAAATTGCACTTGGCTGGCAGTAACAGAAACTTGACTCCAGGGAATTAGAAATTTATTTTTCACATAAACCAGTCTGGAGGTCACCATTCTAAGAGGAAGGTATGGTAGCTTCATGATATTGTCAGGGACTCCATTTCCTTCCATTTTTAGCATGGAACATCCCTCCTCAAGGTCACAAAATTGCTGCTTGAGCTCCAGCCATCATGTTTGCATTGCAGGGAAAATGAAGAACAGAAAGGCACCAAAGGGCTTTCTTGGAAGTGTCCCCACCAACTTCCATTTACAATGCACTGGTCACTCAGCCTCAGCACTGTTGACATTTTGGACTGAATAATTCTATTGTGAGAGGGTGTCCTGGGCATTTTGGGATATTTAGCAGATCCCCACCTCTACCCACTAGATGTCAGTAGTGCTCCCCCTTCCCTGTGATGAAAACCGAAAACCTCTCCTGACATTGCCACATGTCCTCTGGAGGACAAAACTGCCCCTGATTGAGAAACATTAGGGCATTCTTAGATTCAAAAGCAGCTAGGAAATTTACACTTTGAATATATTGATGCCCCAATAGTATAAGAGAAAGAAAGAAGTGGAAATTAGACATTTGAGTGGCAAAAAAACTGTCTTTGCTCCAAGAGCTAATTCACTTTCCTCTTATTTCTGCTGAAAGAGAAACAGTGACCCAAGAGTGATGATAAACAGTCTTAGTGTAGGGGTAATAGAGAATGGTGGGGACTGTGGCACACTGAGAACAAAGGCCCTGTTCATGGTAGTGGGGGTGGGGGTGGGAGGGGTACTTTCCATCTACTTTCCAGCTTTGTTACCAAAAGAGAGCATGGGACTAGTTTCTAGAGCTGATTTTTTCAAGAAAAGCTAGAAATCCAGATTTTAATATGTAATCTCCCATTTTTAAATATTGGCAAGTAGTTCAATTTATATATATATATATATATATATATTTATGAGTGATATTAACCTACAGAAAGCTAGTAACCTACAGAAAGCAACTGGTATGCATGATTTAAAAAAATTATATTATGGAAAATTTCAAACATACACAAAAATAGAATCATATAGTTAACACTTGGATAAATAGATCATATAATCTATCTTTAACAATTATCCACATTTTGCCAGTCTCATTTTTATTCTTTCCTTTCAACTTGCTGTTTCTTTTCTATAGTATTTTAAAGCTTGTCATTTCGCCAAGAAATACTTGATAATCACTTTTTTAAAAAACAAAATCACCATGCTATTTTCATACCTACCAAAGTTAACAATGATACCTTAGTATGGTCCAAATGGTTTTTAAGGGGCCTCCTGGCTTTGCCATTCTAAGCTTTATTAACTGATTCTCTCCTTGCCTCCTGATTGTCTTCCGTCTCCCACCTTTGTCCCTCCTTTTATACAGATAGATAGACATACAGACAGACACAGCTGACTATTGTACAATATGGGGATTAGGGGCTCTGACCCCTGGCACAGTCAAAAATCTGCAATAACTTTTGACTCCCCCCCCAAAACTTAACTACTAATAGCCTACTGTTGATGGGCTGAACAAAATGTATTTATTGAAAAATAAATCCGTGTATAAGTAGACCTATACAGTTTAAGTCCATGCTGTTCAAGGGTCAACTGTATATAGATACACACACAGAAGCACATAGTCAGGCACACAAACACAGAAATACACAGTCACACAAACGTACACAAACTCACAAAACACCACACTCAGACATTCCAGCACACAGACAGACACAGAAACTCACACAGCCACCACAAACCCAAACACACACAGGCACACAAGCGCTCCCCAGCTACTTCTTCGAGAGTAAAGCGCACATTCTGACTTTAGACCTGTAAGCATTGCGAATTGGGCTGGAACCAGTGCTTGCCTGATTCCCACCCACATCCTGCCATCTCCCTTGTGCTGACTAATTTTTGACCCTGAGCTTGTTCGCTCACCCGGGCCTTCATTTTCTTTTGTGCAAAACAGGGAGAACAATTCCAACTTGCCTCCGACAATGATGCAGGGAGGGACGTAATTAGAGGATTTCACACTCCTTGTGCAAGTATTAAAGTGCTTAATAATCACTGCAACAATAGCAGCGCTGAGGAGCGATTATAAGTCCCAGAGGAAGCATGGAGTAAACAAAAAGGCCCAGAAAGGGCTCTGACGGTCGCAATCTTCTCATGCCAGAAGATCTAAGGCCAACAGCCCTCCTGTCCTTGAAGACTCACCCTTGCCTCTATTAATACATGAAGATGTTATAAAGGTTCAAAATCCAAATTCCCAGCTGAAGCCATTAAGGGAAAAAGATATTCTGCAGCTCAGTTTTTAAATTAGAAGATGATTTCTGGGTGCTTAAATATCTCCCTTTATCCTTGTACCATTTATACTGCTGCTGACACAGCTCTGGGCCTGGGTGGGGCCTAGGGTCAAGGGGAGACTGGGTGATGCATTCCTTAGGTGCGCCCTTGGAGATGCCCAAAGAGGGCGCTGGCTCCTGCCATGCTCTGCTGAGGACACTCCCAAAATATCCAGGGCACAGATGCTATTTTTGAGGTTCAGCTTAAAGGCTGCCTCATGGCCCCCACATAATCTGATTTTCACTCTGGCTTTGCTTTTAAAACAGATCCTGACTTGCCTTTTGTTCTTCCGGGAAACTGCGTCTCTCTTGCAGTCACTTGAGTAAAGAGTGCGTTCGTTTCAGCTCTTTTGGCCTTTGCAGGAAGACCAAACTCACTTGGTAAAAAAATACTTTTTAATCCCTTGCTGTTTCTTTCCTATTATTGAGTAGAGGGGATGGCAGCTAAGTACTTGAGATTAAAACCTTAAGATGCCAGCTTTTAAAGCCAAGTTCTTCCGGAGAGGATGCAGATTTGTCATCCCCAAAGGTGAGTTTCTGGTCTAATGTCAACAGAAAATGAGGAATTTTTGTTTCTTGTTGCTCTGCTTTGCATGTACAGATTGGAGGTTGGCACTCTGTGAACACACGTTCATCTGCAGGATGTTCTAAGGTTGAGAAGCGACCAGTTTTATTTCTGCAGAGGGAGCAAGATAACAATGGTGGCGATGTCGCTACTGTGACAGGAGAGCTGCCTTGATCTGAGTGCTCACTGGGTGCCAGGCCCTGCACCAGGCCGGTCACTAGTACATATCATTTCATCTTCTCCGCGGCTCTGTGAGGTAGGTATAGCTACTATCCCCAAGGGGAGGATGTCCACCTCCTTGGGAAGCCCTCCCTGAGCCCAGACCCACACCCTCACCCCACGCCCAGTGTTCCTGCCATGCTCTTTGAAGTGACTTCATTTCATGTCCTTGAGAGCAGAGCCCATGTCTCCTTCAGCATTTGTATCTGAAGGGACCAACACATACTAGGCATATTAAACAAGACTTTGGGCAGATTACCTAATTTCTCTGAGCTTCAGGTAATATTTATTGAGCCCTTATGTGGCAGAGATGGCTGGCTGCTCTCTCAATATCCATTCTTTATTTTTTTTTACAATTATTATTATTTTTATTATGGTATCATTAATATACAATCACATGAGCAACACTGTGGTTGCTAGATTCCCCCCATTATCAAGTCCCCCCTACATACCCCATTACAGTCACTGTCCATCAGCATAGTAAGATGCTACAGAGTCACTACTTGTCTTCTCTGTGCTATACTGCCTTCCCTGTGCCCCCCCTACATTATGTCCGCTAATCGTAATGCCCCTTAATCCCCTTATCCCTCCCTTTTCCCCCACCCTCCCCAGTCCCTTTCCCTTTGGTAACTGTTAGTCCATTCTTGGGTTCTGTGAGTCTGCTGCTGTTTTGTTCCTTCAGTTCTTGCTTTGTTCTTATCCTCCACAGATGAGTGAGAACATTTGGTACTTGTCTTTCTCCACCTGGCTTATTTCACTGAGCACAATATCCTCTAGCTCCATCCATGTTGTTGCAAATGGTAGGATTTGTTTTCTTCTTATAGCTGGATAATATTCCATTGTGTATATGTACCACATCTTCTTTATCCATTCATCTACTGATGGACACTTAGGTTGCTTCCATTTCTTGCCTATTGTAAATAGTGCTGCAATAAACATAGGGGTGCATATGTCTTTTTCACTCTGCGATCCTGCATTCTTAGGGTAAATTCCTAGGAGTGGAATTCCTGGTTCTAATGATATTTCTATTTTGAGTTTTTTGAGGAGCCTCCATACTGCTTTCCACAAAGGTTGAACTAATTTACATTCCCACCAGCAGTGTAGGGGGGTTCCCCTTTCTCTGCATCCTCACCAGCATTTGTTGTTGTCTTTTGGATGTTGGCCATCCTAACTGGTGTGAGGTAATAGCTCACTGTGGGTTTAATTTGCATTTCCCTGACGATTAGCGATGTGGAGCATCTTTTCATGTGCCTGTTGGTCATCTGAATTTCTTCTTTGGAAAAGTGTCTGTTCAGATCCTCTGCCCATTTTTTAACTGGATTATTTGCTTTTTATTTGTTGAGGAGCATGAGCTCTTTGTGTATTTTGGATGTCAACCCCTTATCGGATCTGTCATTTATGAATAGATTCTCCCATACTGTAGGATGCCTTTTTGTTCTACTGATGGTGTCCTTTGCTGTACAGAAGCTTTTTAGCTTGATATAGTTCCACTTGTTCATTTTTTCTTTTGTTTTCCTTGTCCATGGAGATATGCTCATGAGAAAGTTGCTCATGTTTATATTCAAGAGAGTTTTGCCTATGTTTTCTTCTAAGAGTTTAATGGTTTCATGACTTACATTCAGATCTTTGATCCATTTCAAGTTTACTTTTGTGTATGGAGTTAGACAGTGATCCAGTTTCATTCTCTTACATGTAGCTGTCCAGTTTTGCCAACACCAGCTGTTGAAGAGACTGTCATTTCCCCGTTGTATACCCATGGCTCCTTTATCGTATATTACTTTACCTAATATGTTTGGGTTAATATCTGGATTCTCTATTCTGTTCCATTGGTCTATGGGTCTGTTCTTGGGCCAGTACCAAATTGTCTTGATTACTGTGGCTTTGTGGAAGAACTTGAAGTTGGGAAGCATAATCTCCCCTGCTTTATTCTTCCTTCTTAGGATTGCTTTGACTATTCGGTGTCATTTTCATTCCATATGAATTTTAGAACTATTTGTTCCAGTTCGTTGAAGAATGCTGTCAATATTTTGACAGGGATTGCATTAAATCTGTAGATTGCTTTAGGCAGGATGGCCATTTTGACAATATTAATTCTTCCTACCCAAAAGCATGGGATGAATTTCCATTTATTAGTGTCCTCTTTAATTTCTCTCAAGAGTGTCTTGTTGTTTTCAGGGTATAGGTCTTTCACTTCCATGGTTAGGTTTATTCCTAGGTATTTTATTCTTTTCGATGCAATTGTGAATGGAATTGTTTTCCTGATTTCTCTTTCTGCTAGTTCATCATTAGTGTATAGGAATGCTACAGATTTCTGTGTATTAATTTTGTCCAATATACATTCTTTATTGACAGAACCTGATTTTGTTCTGGCCAGCAAAGTGCCTTTCATGCAGTTAGGGAGAAAGAGAGCAGAAGTTGTTGGGTGAAGCCCATAGTTGACTGGTACACACCTTTTGCCCATCCTTACATCCTCCTTTATGCCTGGACTTTGGTCCATGAAGCAATCTTGAAGATGGAACAAAAAGAGAATTCTAGGACCCTGATGACTGTATGTTCATCATTCCAACCCTGGATGCCACACCTTTTGATTTCTTAAGCACTTGCACAGGGGCATGGGGATGGAGAGAGAGCACTATCTTGTTTAAGTCAGGTATTTGGGTTTTCCGTTTTATATGGCCAAATGTAATTCTAACTGACAAGATCTGACCAGGCCATGTTAAGTACTTTATTATGCATCTCAGTCATCCTCACAACAGCCGTTTTAGGCAATCATCACTATCACTTCTATTTTAAAGATGAAGGAACAGAGGCTCAAAAGGATTAAGTGACTGGGATTTGAAGTAGGTAATCTGCCTCCAGAGCCTGGGCCCCTGGCCACTAATTTCTGCTCCCTGCTTTACTGTGATCTTGTGTGGGCTGTGGAGGTGTTATGGCCTCTATAAATCACTGGACACATAGTCATTCTCTTCCTCACTTACTCATTCACTGATTAATTCATTTATTTAACAATCATTTACTGAGAACCAACTCAATAGACTTATGTTAGACTTGGGGGCTATGAGAACAACCAGATGGCTGTCTGCCCTCTAGGAGCCTCCCAGTGTGAGGTCTATTATTATTACTTTCTAGGGACAGACAGTGGGCCAGGGTTTTATACACAGCAGTGCACTATACATCCCCAGGGGCATCAGCTACATGGGCTTTAATAGGAGGGGCACCTCTAGAGTTGGGCAGTCCACAACTTGCACAACTGTATGCAGCACCCCTGTTAGTCACAGAGCTGGATGCCAATCTCCAACTCCAGCCTCAATCATCCAGTTGGATGCCTTTTCATTGGCTCCCTGCAGTATCTCCAATTGTTCTTGGATCCCTCTTACTATTTGTTGATAACAGTCTCCATCTCTCAGGGTGGCAGTGTTTCTCAGATGTCAGGGGCTCTTTGGACCTCTATTCATATTTGAGCGGGAGGCATACACACACACACACACACACACACACACACACACACTATTTGGAAGCTCCATGTGTTGCCCTGTAAAGTGGCTGGGCAATAAGCTAGCTTTTTCATTCTGGGACCCACATGTCATTAACAAACAGTCTTTGTGCTGAGGAGGTCCACTTCTACTTCCAGTGAGGACTCTCTGGAGGTCCTGCCTGAGCCAGGCTGCCTGTGTTCTGGAAGCTGAGGTAGGGAAGGGACCTGGGCCTGACCATTTTGTTCATAACTCCTTGCCTTATCCCCAGCTTCTGCAAAGTCTGATGTCCCCAATGCCCACCTCCTCTCCATCCCAAGGTCTCCAGAAAGCAACCCTCAGATTCCTGCCAAGATGGGAGGGGCGTTACCTGGCTACACCGGCAGACAGGATGGAAGGCCTTCTTACACCAACTTCCAGCCAAGGCCCCTGTGCTTAGCCCTGGCCAGCTCTACCACCTTCAGAGTTTTTATTAATTAAAAATTAATTTAAAAATTTTAAATGGTAGGCCTGACTTTTTGAATAAAATGTTTAAATTTGATTTTACATTCATATAAAAGGAGTAAAAGAAATGAAAATGAGACTGAAGGAATTGTCAAATTTCAAGTAAAAAATGTTTTCTCCCTGAAAGTATTAGCTTATTTAATTTTTTTTTCTAAAGCTAAGAGAAGTGATTAAGAAAATAATAAGATGTTTGGAGCATTACTTTTTTAGTTATTTATATCAGCTTTTAAATGAATATGTTGATTTTTGCTAAGATGATGAAATTAGTCCATTTGTTCCTTAACAACATTTTTAAATTGTGATTAACCTACATTAAAGTAACTAAAATGCCTTTTACCTATGTTGATACCTGTAATCACCACCTAGATTCATGAATGGAACATTTCTAAGCCTCCCCAAATCCTCCAGTTTCCTTCCCAGTCTATTCCCTGCCTCTCCTGGGCCTGAGATAAACTCTATTGTGACTTTATCACTGTAAAGTATTCTCGATGATTCTAGAACCCTATATAAATGGAATTATAAATATGTATGCCTTGGTCTTAGACTTCTTTGCTCAGTATAATGTCTGTGAGATTCATTCATGTTGTTCCGTACTATCAGCAGTTCATTTTTTCATGTTTTCACATATACCTCTTGTCTATTATCTAGCTAGCTGCTATCTACCTGTCAAAATTTAGCCTTCTGCTGTTGAACACTTGAGCCATTTCTCGTTTCGGGTTATTGTGAATAAAGTTGTTATGAACATTCTTGAACATGACTTTTGGTAGACACCTGTTTGCACTTCTCTAGGGAATGCACGGGGCCCCAATTTGGGGTTCTTTTGGATTTCTCCCTGTTATTCTGTTAAGTCATCCCAGTGGCTTCCCCTATTGCAGGCTCAAGCACCCAACTGCCTACTTGACATTGCCACTTAGATGTCTTACCCACCTCTCAACCTTAACATGCTGTATCCTGTAGTGCACCCCCATCCCAAGCCAACCCAAAGCTTCTTTCTAGAGTCTTCCAAGCTCAGACAACACTGTCATCGCCCACCCGATTTGTGAGCCGGAGGTCAGCCTCCAGTCTTCCCTTTGCTTCTCTGCCCCTTCCGGCACCACATCTAGCCCGTGAATTCCAACTTTGAACTCTCCTCTTAAAATCCATCCACTCCTCACCAGCTCCACTGCCACCTCCAGGTCCAGCCCACCTCATCTCCCCCTTAGATAACTATACAACATCCTAACTGACCTCCCTGTTTCCATCTGGCTTTCCTCCAATAGTTTCTCCAAATGGCAGCAAGATGCTCTTAAGATACAAATTCATGTTCTTTTGAATGTCCTCCCACTGCACTTGGACTCAAGGCTACACTCCATGTGCATGAGCTTTACTAACCAGCTCACAAACAGCTGCCTCCTCCTTTTATACCACTGAATACTGTCCATTGTATGGATGGACTGTCATTTATTTATCCCATCTTTTATCAATAGGCATTGTTTCCCTTTTTTTTGCTATTAAAACAACATGATGGTGAATAACTATGTATATGTCATTTAGTGTATGTGTAATAAACCTCTAGAAAAAATTCCAAAAAGCAGAATTCCTAGGATAACAGGTATGGCATTTTAAATTTAATGAATGGTGCCAAAATCTTTCTCATGTGGAGCCACATCAGTTTATACTCACATGAACAATGTATGAGAGTGCTCATTTTCTGACATCAATTCTGACATAGTGGATTGTCAAACTGTGATTTTTGTTAATCTGATGGGGAAAATGATATCTAATTTCTCTTATTATGCATTTAATTGAGCATCTTTTTATATGCTTAAGAGCCATTTGTTTTTCCTCTTCTGTGAATGATCTTTCTTGTCCATTTTCCCACTAAGTTGTTGATCTATTTTTTATTGACTTGTCAGAACACTTGTGATTAGCCCAAATTATCCCAATTTCTCTTGTGACATTTAGTTTAGTAAGGTTATTTTTAGCTATAAAGATTGTTTTAAACATTTTTGTGTTTGTCAAATTTCTCTCTTTCATTTTAGGACATTTGGGTTTTGTTTCATTATTAAAAAGGTCTTTTACCGTTGGAAGTATAAAAGACTTCCATCAGTTTTATTTTGCTGCATTTGTGGTTTCACTTTATACACTTACATCTATGATCTTTTTGAAATTTGTCCTCCTGGTTTCAGTGGGAAAAAGTAGGGATCCAACTGGATTTTTTTCCCCCTGACTGGTTGTTCCTTTCTATCCTTGTCTCAGTTTAAATGTCACCTCCTCTCTGACCATCCTAGTCAGAGTATTTTCTATCTCAGTCCATCGTCTGTGTCTTTCACAGAAATTTTTGTGATTTGTAATTTTAAAAACATTTGTTAGTTTGCTTGCTTTGGGGATCTCTCCCAGGAAGATGTCAGCTCCTTGAGGGCAGGGATGTTCACCATCATACCCTCTGCCACATGTACAGCGGCCTGGACGTAGCAGATGTTGGTGGAGGAACGTGATGTTGCTTCACCATCCAGCGTCTGTCGTTCCTTCTTCTGGTATTAACACTGATTTTTCCTCTGGGCAAAACCACACCTCCATTGTTCCTGGTCCTGGTGCGTTCAGGAGTCGGGTGTGACCAATCAGGTCCACCCCCTGACAACAGTCATTGGCTGAAATAGGCACATGACCCAAACTCAACTAATGAGATACAATCTCTGGACAGACAGACAGGCATTACTGAGAGGAAGGCATCTTCACGGGAAATCCCTTTCAGGGTTTTTGCAGCCCTTGACTTCATGGGCAAGGGCACCAACCTCCTCACCTGGAAAAAAAAATCCACCCCAGGCAAGGCAACTTTGACCTCTCTTTTGATCTTGAAAACAAAAGAATATTGTAATTGCAGTCTGGGGTCTTTCGTAATTCAGTTCAAGAGAAGCTTCTATTTCTTTCAATCCAACAAATATTTCTTGAGCACTTGGTGTCAGAGCTGAGCCGAATTCTGGGACTGGCCTCAGTTCCTGATGGTTTTTGCAGATACTGTGTGCTAATTTGTTTTTTTTTAAATTAAAATAACATATATTAGAGTTTTTAAAATTCAAAAAAAGTAAAGGCAAAAAAAGGCTAAATAACCCTTGTTGACATTTAAAAAAATACAAATAATACTTGTGCATAGTAAGAAAAACGAAGTCATTTGAAAAGTTAAAAAAAATAGCACTCAGGTGTGACAAATTACACCATCCCCTAATTTCAAGGGATTAAAATAATTATTTATAATTAATGAATAGGGATTAAAATAATAATAATCAAGGAATTAAAATACATTTTTTAGCTCACAGACAAAAAAGAAATACCACCAACTTAATATCCCTATTAACAGTTACCTGTGGTTGCTTGTAGAAAACTTTTATGTATGTACAAGAACATTTATATGAATATGCCAAAATGTTGCTTCACTTTAATTTATAAAAGTGATCAGAATATGCATTCTGTTCTGCCCTTTCAGTTTTTCACTTAATTATTTCAGTAGAAAAATGTACCAGGGACAGGAACACACAGTTCACAGAACTGAAAAGGAAATACAAATAGCTCATAAACATATGACAGGATGTTCAATCTCCTTTATAATAAGAAAAATGCAAATTAGAAGTACACAGAGAGATCATTTCTTGCCTATCAGATTGGCAAAAACCCAAAAGTCTGATAACACCCTGTGCTGGCAAGGTTGCTGGGAAAAAGGCACTCCTGAACCTTGTTGGTGGAAGTGGAAATTGGTGCAAACCTATAGATGGCAATTGGACCGTATCTATCAAAGTAACAAATGCATATACTCTTTGCTGCAATAGCTCTAATTTCTGAAAATTTATCCTTCAGATATTCTTGCTCAAGAACAAAATAATTATGCCTGGGGTCATGTTTAGAACAGAAGTTTTTTAATAAAGGAAGCTCTTGTTGGTCCTGGAATAGTCCTTTGAACATCACAGATACCACAGAGACAACACTCACTCAATATCCATACACATTCTGCCTTGCCCAGCCTCCTTGCAATTAGTTGGAACTATGTGGCTCATTTCTGCCCAATAGGATGTGCCAAAGTGATGTAAACCATTTCCAGCCTAGTCCTTAAAAAATCCCATGCAACCTTCTGGCTCTCTCTTTGCCTGTGTCCACCTGTTCCAGATGATACAGCAATGAGATAGGGAAGGGTGCTCGGTCTGCAACATAATGTAAAAGCAAGAAAGAAGCCTTTGCTGTGTTAAGTCCCTGGGATTTGGGGGTTCATTACTACAACATAGCCATTTTATCCTAACTAAAGTGTGGGTGCTCAATAAATTCTTGTTGAATACAGTATGCTGCAGTGAGCATTCTTGTGCATGAAGCTGGATGAATGAGGGTAATCATAGGCTAAGTTGCTACATTGCTGCATCCTAAAGAACACATTTAACATCCTGGTAGATAGAGCAAATTGTCCTGCAGGAAGTTGGCATCAGTTTATACTCCTGACAGCCAGCATCATGATAACTAACACATACAGGTCTGACTCTGTTCCAGGCACTCTGCCAGGGGTTTTGTCCACGTGGAATAAGCACAGCGTAACAGCCCTATCGTGGCAGCCCTATATGCTGGACTGCGACAAATTCCTAATATCCCACTTCTTCAAATGAATTGGCCAAGGCCCAGGAATCCGTATCTTAAAAAGACTCCCCATATGCACCTGGTAGTCAGCCAGCTTGCAGAATCAGGAGTCCAGAGGACTTGACCTAGGGTTGCCAGAGAGTGGTTCTGGTAAAGCAGCTAAGGGCCACCTGGGCAGGTATCTTCCTTTATACAGTCTTTAGTATTTGCTGAACAGGAATAACCTAATACAAGTGAATCAAAATTGTGTACTTCTTTCTCTTTAATAGGAAAAAAAAGAGAATGTGTCCATTCCACAAATATATTCTATAGAATTTTCCAGGCCAGACAAACTTATTTAGTGGTCTAGTATTTTGAATATAATTTCATCTGTGAGGTCCAGACACCTAAGAGACAGAAATGAGAGAAACACTTCTCTCTTACACAGAATCCTGAGCTGGGCTGGTGGCTCCG